GACCGTGTGTGCTGAAAGATTCCTTACCTTTCTTTGGAAATCTGCACGCTGAATTGTCCCTGTGGTTTAATTTATGTTGAGGAAAACTATCAGGGCATTAAGGGTAAGAGTTTCTGAACGCAAACTGCCATAAGGCATGAGGATAAAAGAATTCTCCAGTTGCGTTATTTTCTTCTTTGTATTATAAACACACCGCAGCAAATCTGAAATGTATGGGAAATAAAAGACTAATGAGGCACTGAGGGCCGGAAACCTGGAAATATTTCCCCTTTGGGATCTTACTGGAAAGTACTGCTATGTTCTGTCCCTTCTGTGAAAGAAACACTATTCACATATGCTGTGCTAACATGCAAATATAAGCCACTTCTTAATTTTATAAGTACTTTGTGAACTGATGCACTGATATACGTACCTTTTGGAAGCAGCTTCACTCCCAGCTTTCTATCCGAATGCCTGGCGTTCCTGGAGACTGAAATCGAAGTACACTTACGTTCCCTCTTTTTAGAGATTTGCTGTTCCGTAGCAAGAAAATCATATGTGCGAAGATGAAAATTGCCCGCACATTTGAGGGTTATTTGCTGTAGTTTCCAGAGATGAGGGATCTGTTTTTATTGTGTAGTAACCAAATGGGATTGTCTGTCTTTTGACAGGGCTTATAGCTGTTTACTCAGGAGAAGGGAGAGCAGAAGTATCTTTTGCACCTTTATTTCCCCCTTCCCACCCTAAACTTTGAGCTTTGAAGGCCAGAGCTGTCCCAGGGTAGTTCAAAACTTCCTTCTTTGTAAGTGACATAGCTGGGAATAATGGGGATAGGGTTCTGACGCTTACTGCTTTGACTACTTTTGAAATATCACTGAAATTTAGGGAAAGCTGTAGCAGCACTACTACTAGGAAAGGAGAGGAGGTGGAGGATTTTTTTTCTGCGTTATCTCTTTCTGCTGACATCTCTGTGTTCAAAGGCGGGACACTAACGTAGCTGTAGCTTACCATTTTTTCAAGTAGTGTGGGAAAACATTTTTCTTATCAGGTTTAATGTCTTTAGTTACACAGAATGGTGTAGAAAGGGAAATAAAAGGTGAGAGAAGGGGCAAAGCCGGTCGGGAGAAACGCGCCAGGGTGAGCGCCGTTGTGCGCTACGCAAGAGGTGCCTCTCCGTGGAAGAACGGGCTCTTCCCTTCTTCCCCTCGTCCAGGTTTGAAGGGAGCACGCTGCATATGAACCGTAGGGAACTGTTTGTTTTGGCGGTGGCCGCGATTCCTGTGCTCCCTGCGGCTTCTCCCCTGTGCCCACGTCCCTCCTCCTCGCCTGGGGTCAAGCTGGGACGTTCAAAACCAAACGCTGCCCCCCGTGTTTTGCAGGTAGAGGTGAGCAAAGTGAAGCATCGCTTCCACTTACAACTGTAATTCAAGAAACGCTCTGCATTTAACAGCTTTTTAGGACAGCGGGCAAGCCTGTCTCCTCCCGCTCCCCGCGCTCGGCTGCTCTCCAGTTCGTGGCCTGTGGTC